TCCCATTGTACAATGATGTATGAAGAACAGAGAGCAAACCTTTTATAAACTGCTTCGTTATCTTTTTTTTTTATAATTTTATTTATTTTTTTTCCCCCAAAGCCCCAGTAGATAGTTGTATGTCATAGCTGCACATCCTTCCAGTTGCTGTATGTGGGACGCGGCCTCAGCACCGCCGGAGAAGCGGCGCGTTGGTGCGCGCCAGGGATCCGAACCAGGGCCACCAGCAGCGGAGTGCGCGCACTTAACCGCTAAGCCACTGGGCTGGCCAACTGCTTCATTATCTTTAATGCTGCATTTAGTAAAAGCCTTCCACTACTGTTTACCATATCAAGTTTTCATCTCTTTATGAAAGGCTGATGCTTATCTGACTGGGCTGAGTCACCATCACCCAGGGGTCTTATTTGCATCACACACTGGTACAATGGTCTTAGGAAGAGAACTATGCTCAACTATAGAGCAGGATACATCAAATACTAAAACTGTCACTTGTGCTTAGTTCTTCCTGGAAAAAGAATTTATTTGATATAAAGTTGCAAAATAACTATTGCTTTAATTCTGTGTCTACTCCTATAGCAGAATTATATCCTTAGATATTTTATAAAATTCATATATGCTAAATGTGAGAAGCCTAGAACAGTGCACACAGGGCACATTGTAACAAATGACAAATATTAATCCTCTTCCTCTCCCTCATCCCTTCTAGCACTTTCCCAGAGTCATGGTGTAAGACGGCATAACCAATCTTCCAGAGAGAGGGCATTAATTGTGTTGCTTTCCTGGCCAAGATGAAAGACTCACTCACTCACTGGATAACATTTGATCATAAGACCCTGGTACTGCCTTGGCTGCTGGGGAGAAGAAATGAACAAGATACGAAGCCCTACTCTAAAGGGTTTTATGTTTGAGAGGAGAAGATCAAACACACCTATGAAAAATTACAATGCAATGGGATAATCAAGGGTGTACCTTTCCTAGAAGATAGTGATATTATTTTCACATTAGTGAAGGATGGTTGAAGGGAATGAGCAACAGGAAGGAGATTGCTTGAGAGGGAGCTAATGGGACATCTGCATTTGTGGAGATGGGCCTGGGAAAGTATTTCAGGAGGAGGAAACTAAGTGAGAAGAAGGCCAGAGGCAGGAAGTGCAGGAAGCTCGGGGTGTGTGTGTGCGTGTGTGTGGTGAGGGTGGAGGGTTGGAGGTGCAGTCTGTAGTTGGAAAAGTCCATTAGGGCTTGATCATGGAATGAAGAAGGGGCAGCTGAAGATCCTGGGCTTAATTCGGTTGATATCATGGAAGCTTTGCAAGTTTTGGAGTATAATGTGGCATGCTATGCTTTGGGAAGATGAGTTTGGTCAACAAGTTGAAAGTAGCACCAAATTGAAGAGCTGAGAGCATGTTGGAAAACATCAAATCTAAGAACCTAATTGTATGGATAAAGAAACTGAGAAGAGACAGGAAGTGACTTGCCAAGAGGTTACACAGCAGTTTTAGGGCAGGGAAAGGACAATAAACCTCCCTCTCCTTTGTCTCTTCATGCCAGTCCTTGTCCTACTCCCAAATGGCCGGATCCTCTGGCTCTGTCTCTCCCTTCCCACTGGTCTGTTTACATCCAGGCCATTTACATCCAGGCCTCATCTCTTGAGCAAGTTATCTGACTTTATTTAAACATCCAGGCCCTATACCTTCTCCATCTTCCTCTGCCTCTGATCAGGAACAGGAAGAAGAAGAAAAAAAACAGTTGAATGCTTACAATAATCAAGGTAGGCACTAAGTTAAGGAGTCAGAGATGAATTAGACTCTCAGTTCAGTAGCAGAGAAAGACAAGATGACCAAAGACATGATCCAAAGTCATATGGACTGAGGGTTAGTACAGAGCGACAGGATCACTCTGTAGGGGAAATGCATCCATCAGAGGGGGCAGTAGGGGCGACAAGGCCTCTCAGACGATGTGATATTTAAGAGGAGTCTGAAGAGGCTAGGTAAGGGTTGCCAGGTGGATGGAGAAGAAATGGTGCTCTCAGAGAGAGAAGAACCTATGTAAAGGCAGATAAGCATGGACAGGTGAGGCGTGTTTGGGAAACCACTAGAATTTCAGTTGGCTAGAGGGTGGGGGCATGTGAAGGACTGGCAGAAATGAGGTTGAAAGGCTGTGAAACCACACGAAGTTCGACCACATGATGGGTTTGAAGCTGGGAAGAGGCATATCCGATTGGTATTTACCTTCCATCTTCCACTCCCCTCTTGTCCTTATTATTTTTCCAGTAGCCTCTTCATATCTTTTCCTCTTGGTCAGCTGTGGCAGATTATGAGTTCTGCACATTGGAGTGTTCCAAGTGAGACCAGACGGTCACTCAGCAGTGGGTGAGCAAAGCTTCAGGCCGCCTGGGCTCTGGAAGGAACCTCAGCTTACCCACATTCTAGCTCTGTGTTAAGTGCAACGTACTTAACCTTCTTGGGCTTTACTTCCCTCATGGACAAAACAGAGCAAATAATAACGGCAACCTCAGAAGCGTTTTGGGAGGGTTAAATGAAATGCATATGAAAAGTCCTTAGACTATTGCCTGGCATATCATCAGCATGAACAAAGTACTGACATGAGCTAACAAAGGTCTTTGGGTAAGGGACTGTACTAAACACAAGGGAATGGTGGGAACACAGCCCAGCCCTCCTCAAAGCCTTCTGTGCTGTCACTGGACCAAAAAGAATGCTTCTATAGGCCTTCAGGTGACCAGTGTGCAATCCTCCGATCACAAGACCTCTACTCCATCAGAAATTCCATGCTTCTTTTAGTCTCTGAATTGGTAAACCTGTATTTCCCTTCCATTGAGTCTGCAAATTTACACAACTTTCCCTTCTTTCCCCAGTCCCTGAATGCAGCAGGTTTTAATAGGAATGTTGAGAAAAGTGAGAAGACAAAAGAAACCAGAGCAGCAAATGAGAGTGAGCCTTTTGGTTTGGGTTGGCACTGATGACAACACAGCATGTGGTTGGTCAAGCATCCAATTTATGACTTTGCCTCTGATAGTCCCGGTGAGTGCCTCGTGAGTCGAAATTATCTTTTGTGATTAACTTTATAGAATGCTTGTGCTAACCCTGTGCTCACCTGAGCAATTCATAAATATTTCAGGAGGAGAAACACAGTGATCTTCCCCAACACACCCATACAACAGTTTCAACATAATTAGTAGCATTTCTGGATCCAATACAGCACTCTTATAATGTGTGTGATGGAGGAAATGAATGACTCTAATTATACCTTATTAAATCTTATTAATCCTCATTAGAACTCTATTATTCTTTATAAGTAGGTTACTGGGGAAAAGAAAAGAGAAATGCTGGTCCAGTCCCGTTATATCTGATGGGGATGGGGTGAATCCATCATTACTTTGAGTGATATCAGAATTTTTTCATATTAAACAAGAGCACTCAGAATGTTGGTTTGTTGGAATGCTGAAGACAGAGTAAGTGAATTGTGTTGTCTGATGTTTTTAAAGCCCCAGATCAAAATCTCTTTAAAAGCTGATATGTCCTATTTCAAACTATATTAGTTGCAAAGAGAAAAATATTTCATTATTGCGTGGAATAGGTACTCGTGACCTTATCTCTGCCCCTATTTTCATATTTTTGTCTGTGTAGATGAGAAATTGAGAGTAAGACAGATTAAGAAATTTGAACCCAGGAATGTCTGAATTCAAAGACCTTGAACAAAGAAAGTGTGCAATATATGGCAAGTTCAATAATATCTCTTACTACATTTATTTCTTTAATTCTTGGTCAAAGAAATCCCAGAAGAACCAAGTTTTGGAAGTGTCATGAGTAGGTAACTCAGTGTACCCTCAACATTCATGAATGGGAATTACGGCCTGCTGGAGGTCTGGGTGTCCTTGTTGGGTGGAAATATCACGGAATTAGTCAGGTGACCTGGACCGGGGGAGGTGAGTTCAGGTACTTTTGTGTTGGGCAAGTCACATTCCCGAGTTTTTTCCCCAAATGTAAAAGAGGGACTACAATTTGTCCTATCTAACACGAAGATCTAAGAAGCCGGTGAGAAAGTGCTTTTATGATGTGCTGAGTCAGGGATTATTTTAGATAACAATAGGACAGCAATACAAGGAAACAAAGTCTCCAGGCTGGAACGCCTTCCAGGCAATGGCAGCCGCGCATTATACACATTATGGTGACCCCTTGATAGAGTAAAGGGTGATTCTCATGGTTGCTCATATTTACAAACGTCAGAGGAAAAAAATTCGACTAAAACTTTCCAAGAACACGCTTGCCTTTATTGAAACCAGTTCACCCAGTTCGCAGACGTTTTTTGAAACTATAAGCACAAAGTACACTTTCCGGGCTTCCGGACAGGGCTGTGAAGTAAACGTTCAACTCCAGGGGTTCTTTTCTTTGAGCACCGGACAGAGGAAGTTGCCCTCAGGAACTGATTGTCATTGCTATTCAGGGCTCACTATCTATCAGAACCTTTCAGGAACTGATATCCGGGACAAGGGAAGTTCGAAATCTCTTCACAGAGTGGTCCGCCTTGTCCGCTGACATCTAACCTGTTCACTGCTGAGTGGGAAGGAGGGACTCAGGGCCCTGCCTGGGAGCGGGGGGGGGGGGGGACATGGTAGGGGGGCTGAGCAACTGGGTCCCGCGCCTGGATCTGTGGCATGTATGACCCTGGACAAGTCATTTCTCTTCCGGGAGCTTCAGTTTTCTCCTGTGCGTGTGGACGGGTTGGAAGCTGGTCTTTGCCAGCTCTGACATCCAGTATGTCTTGAGTCTTGCTGGGAATCTAGGGCGGGGCTCACGAGTAAGATCTTGGAAGGGGATTCCATGGCAGAATCTCTTCTGCTCTGGCTCAGCGCCCCAATTTGGCGCCTTAATAGCAGGCGCAGGTTCCCCCCTCTCTCCTGCAGCCCCTCCTCTCGGCGGCTTCCTCCTTCTACGTCTCCTTCCTCTTCCTCCAGTGCAGGCAGAACCCCCCCCACCTCCCTCTTTTCCTTCCTCCTTTCCAAGCTCCCTGCATCCCCGCGTCTCCTCCTCTTCCTCCCAGGAAATAAATGCCCTCTGTGCGCCCACCTTCTGGCAAAGCCACCGCCCGCTGCGGGCGCCCCCTCCCGCGCCAGGCGAGCGTGGCGCGGCGGCCCCGCGGGCACACGCCTTCCCATACCTTACATGGACAAATGCGTGCAGGCAAAGTCAGGAATTCAGGCCCCTGACGTCAGCCTCCAGCTCTCAGGGCACCGCACGGGAGACCGAGGGGAGGGGGTGGGGACGGTGGGGAGGAAGGAGGGGGAAAGGCACCAACCAGCAGCCGCTCCAGCCTTGCCGAAGTTTCACTTTTTGTCTGTGGGTTCGCTCCCGGGCCCCGCGCGAGCTTTCCCGGGATAAGTAGCTTTAGCGAGCGGGGGAGAGCCGGGCGCTGCAAGGTAAGGGCTGGCTGCACGGCCCGGGGCCCGGGGCGCGGGGCGCGGTGCGGGGCGCGGGGCCGGGCCTCTCCGGGGCTGGGGACAATGGGAGGGGGAGTGCCCGGGCACCTCCTCCTTCGCCTCTGCCTCCGCCTCCAGCCGCCGCCGCCGCCGCCGCTGCCCCGGCTGCCTCCTCCCTGAGGTATTGTTGCAAATCCTCCTTCCTTCCCCCCACCCTCCGCCCGCGGGCGCCTCGGGAACCCCCAGCCGTCTCCGGGCGCGGGCGCCTCCGAGGTGGCAGGAACGCGGGCGCAGGGCGCGGAGTGCGCGCCCTGCCCGGGCCGCAGGGCCCGCGGTGCGGAAGTGCCAGGCGCGGCGCAATCACGGGGTGCACGCCATGGGGGAGGGGGACCCCGAGTTTTTCGGGAAGCGTCGACCGTGGGCTGGGCGGGGTTGCAGCCCTGCACCGCGCGCCCCCCGCCGGGGCTTTTCTGGGCGCCCAGGGGGCGGGGCCACACCCCGACGCTTAGAGCTTTCGCGGAATCACAGTTGTCACAGTAGAAGGGGCCTAGGAACCTAGTCATCCAAGTGCCCCCATTTTATAGTTGGGGCAACTGAGGTCCAGAGAGAAGGAAGGTGTCCCCCAAAGTCACTCTCTGGAGGCCGAGCCATAATTAAAATATATGGCTCCCTACTCCTGGTTCCCTTTTTCCCAGCATTTTTCAAGCACCCACTGTGTGCTAGGCGCCGCGCTGGGTTGTTGGGTCAGGAGGATGAGGCCTAGTTCTTGCTCTCAGGAAGCGCTCAATCAACGGAGGAGCCAAACCTAATGTAAGACAGAAAGTGCGAAGTGTTGGGGAAAAGGCGTGGATAAAGTTTTAAGGGGCTCAGCGAGAGGTGTTTGATTTCCTGGTCCCTGGCGAGGGATCTGAGATGGCCCTTTGGAGGGGGTCGCCCTTCTTCAGGGCTTTTGAAGGATGGGGAGTTTTCTGAAGCCAGACAACGACATGGAGGAAGGCCATTTGCGCGCGGGAACTGCAGACCAGAGAAGACTAAATAAAATGCGGAGAGTGCAGATGATACTGTAAATGTTACTGTGTTGGGGGGTGGGGTACGTTAGATGAGATAATCAGTAGAATTGTGCCTAAGGACTCCGACAGAGCAGTATCTTTGGGACTCTAGGAGCGAGGGGGACTAAAAGATCTCTCTGGCTTCCCGTCCCTTCCCCGGGGATCCACTGCCTTCCAGCTTTCAACACAAAATGCAAAAATGTGGGGTCATCTCTGGTTCTTTTCCTAGTACCATACTCACTTAACTTTGTTTCCAATCCTTTTTCTCTTTCCGCCATCTCCACATTTTCTAAATTGCTTGCCTCCCAAGAAAGCTCTTTCTCACTAAGTTGTTAGTGACTTCATGGCTTACCTCTCCCAGACATGTGCGTTTTAAGAAAGCCTGTAAGTGGAGGGAGAGAAAGCAGCTAACTCCCCCTCCCCCAGTCCTCACCCTCCCTCACTCCTACGGGGAAGGAAACAAAAATAAAGGCCCAGGAAGGTGGGTGCTAGTCTTAAAGGCTACAGTAATAAAGGTGGGTGGTGGGGAGCCAGAACTCCCAATAGGGTTCTCTCTACCCCATGACCAGCCTTCTTCCTTCCAGGGCTCCTGCCAGCACCAGGGGGCAACTGAAAGGAAGAGTGTATCTTACATTTAATCTTTGCAAGGCAGTCCCCCAAGCCCAAGACTAGGCCTTACAGTCTAGAATGTAGACTCTGGATAGGAGATAAGTAGTTGAGATTAGCTGTCTGAATGGTAGGAAGTAGTTGAGATTAGCTGTCTGAATGGTAGGAGGGAAGGCCTGGGGCCTTTGGGTCAGGCATTCGCCCAGGGTCACGCTCCCTGTAAGCATTGGGTGGGCCTAGAAGTGGCTTTCGGGGTGGGCAGAGGAAGGAGAAGCTGAGCTGCTTACTGTGGCTGGGACTGAGTAGGACCCTTCTTGAGGTGACATAGTCTGGTGGAGAAGTCATTGTTCTGGGGGAGTAGGGGGTAGACAGTTTCAGGCAGTGGTTGGTGGGAAACAGGGCTCGATTATGAAGGGCCTTAAAAATGCTAGGCTTGGGAGTTTGGCTATGACTCAAAGTCGTCATTTGAGGGTTTTGAGCAGGCTGAGATGTGATTGGGAGGGGAGGAATTGGCATTGGGAAGCCTTCTGCTGCCCAATTCCAGTGAGAGAGGCAATAATTTGGCCTACGAATGTTATTGTGGGTGTTTGCTCATTTACTTGACATATATTACTGAGTACCTATTATGTGCCATTGGCAAATGTGATAATTTTATAGCCGGTTCCTGTATTTTATTGAGACAAATAAATTGTATTTCATCAGTTCTAAAACACACTTTTTCACATTTTAATATCGCTGAAATTGGGTTGTCTTGTAATCACAGATGTGGCATAGTCGAGCAGTTTTTCATTCTAAGTTGGTAATGGTACATCTTACAGTCCATGGTTGAGCTTTGATAAAATTTGTAAATCATACCCTTTATGAATGTACAGTGCTTTGTGCTTTATAAAACACTTTCCTATCAAATATTCTATTTGAATCTGAAAAATTCCCTGAGAATTGGGCCTGGTGACACTGTCATCTCCATTTTAACTCTTGCCCAAGGTTACACAGCTAATTAGAGATGTGCTCAAAATTACAACCCAGAACTTTGACTCGTGGTGTTAATACATGCTTTACCCTGCTGTGGAACTAGCATGGGTTAATTGGGAACAGAAAAGTCTGATTGGATTTGATTTCAGAACTATGGTTTAAGATTCTGGATTGATGATGGGATTTTGGCCAAGGGCGGAGTGTAACTCAGGAGGACTGGGAAGTCCCCTTAGCCCAGAGACTTGCTGTGTTAAATAGAAAAAGGACAGGGAGATAGAAGATGCCAGGTAGGATGGTAAAACCAGAGAATGAAGCACACTGCTGTTTCTACAGAAAAGAGCAGAGCAGAGCAGTGCATGAGGCACACAAGTGTGGAGCCTACCTCCTGTGAACCAGGAACAGGCTGGCCCTGGGAGTACAAAGATGAGAGGACATGGTCCCTGTCTTTGAGGAGCACATGGGCCTGTGTGTGTGTGGGGAGGGAGTTCTGTTCTAGGGCTATGTTTTGGCTGCTCTGCACTGAGGAGAGTCAACCACAGAGGGAGTGATGTTGAAGAGAATCTTGAGGGCTACATAGGAGTTGCCCAAGTGGAAGAAGGACCTGTTAGCCATATGCACACTTAGGGAAGAAGATTTATTATTGAGGCTGTATTTTGAGTGGCCAGCATGAAGGGGGCTGTGGAAAATGGAGAAAGGGGAGGACTTTTATTTTTTAAGTAGATTTAAATTATCTTATAGGCTATAGAGGCCATTAAATGTATGGAGGCCATTAAACCTGGAGACTGACAGGAGGACAAACCTGGACAGGGGCTCTGGAACCATCCCTGGGATTAGGTATTGAGATGGTAATGCCGGAAGAAGAGTAACACATTTAGTAACTGGTTCGGTGAACCTGAGACTTTGACCCTAGGCAATAATTAGGAGTCCCAGCTCAGTATGCCTGTTGGTGGGTGGGGACTTTTCCTGGAGTTCGACATTGGAAGGCTGCTTCTTGCTATAAGAAAGCCAGGTGAGGAAGGGGGAGGTGAAGTTGTGCTTCGTGCTGGAAACTACTGGATGGAAATCCATGGGCTTGAGGTGTGTGAGGCAGGGGTGAGGGGAAGGGAGGAAGGCATGGAAGTGTGTTGTGGGAGTCTGCTCTAGCTTGCCTGGAGGCAATGGTGGGTGCATTCCTAATGGAGGTCACAGAAAAGAGAAAGAATTGCACCTCTTTTGACTTTCTACAAATGGGGTGGGTGGGTGGCCAGAGGGTTAATGGCATTTATGCTGGGAAGCAGGTAAACCACAGAATTGAGGCTTGAAAATGTTTATCTTCCTATCATTCTTTCTTTTCCTTTCTTTTTTTTTTTTTTTGTGAGGAAGATTAGCCCTGAGCTAACATCCATGCCAATCCTCCTCTTTTTGCTGAGGAAGACTGGCCTTGGGCTAACATCTGTGCCCATCTTCCTCCACTTTATACATACGGGACGCCACCACAGCATGGCTTGACAAGCGGTGCGCCGGTGCGCGCCCGGATCCGAACCCGGGCCGTCAGCAGCAGAGCACGCGCGCTTAACTGCTACACCACGGGGCCGGCCCCTATTCTTTCTTAATAGTAATAAAAATAATATAATTTTGAAAATTTCTGGAGTGCTTACCATGTGCTTGTACAATTCTTCTACTGATTCATTAAAATAGGTTTTATGATTATCGATCTCATTTTGCAGATGAGAAAATGAGTTTGGTTAGATAAGGTTGCACAACTACTAAACGGCCGAGTTTGGAACCTTTGCCTGTCTCTTCTGTGCCCACAGAACAAAAAGTGTAAATTGACTTTGTTTTTCTGTGTTCTTCCTTGGAATTTAATTCAGTACACATTCATTGGGCCTCGGTGGGACCACAGTTGAGGGTTTATGTGGGCGAACAGGCTTCTTAGTTCTACCCTGGTGCTGTCCCAGCCGCTTCTCTCTTAAGATGCTACCATTCCCTCTGCCCTCTGAGTGTTTTCTCTCCCCAAATTTAACCGGAGAGGACGGAGCCTCTTTAGCAAACCGTCTGCCCCTCCTAATACCATCCCTCGCCAGTCCCCTGTAGTGATAAGGATTTGATGAATCCCCATAGAGAGGCAGTTGGGGCAATAAAATAACAAAGTAGGGCGGTGGTGCAGGGTCTTGATCTCGTCATTGCCCTTGATCTATGTATGGCTCTTGTGACAATGCTAGATGTCCTCTGGAGTTGAGCCAAATAGCTCATGTTGGATCCTGCCATCCCCTGGTTCATGCGGACCCCTTCTTCTAAGAAGGCTTTCTGGCTCAGGACTCTGAAGATCAACTCAAGTCCTTCCAGTGGCCTACTTGCATCAGGCGGGTCATTTGCATTTTGATAACTCACAGA